TGCTAATTACGATTGCAAGTTAAATATGCTATTTGTTCAAATTTCTAAGGAAGCTGAAATGTGCTATTTACCTTTCACAAGCACAAACATCATATAGTATGTTGGATGTATTGCTGGAAATCACGTTTTCAGAGACATCTTGCGTCAGGGATAATTACTAACAGTCTGGCCCCACAGTTTGTGCTGCAACCTAGGGAAAAATATGCGTAGCTCTGCGCAGAGGCTTTCGGGGTAGGCTCATGTAGGAATTTATAACAGGAGGGGAAACTCGCTGTTTGAGAGTATGAACTAGAGCAGGGGTGTCTCTATTTACAAGGGCTCACGGGCCACACCTAAAATCTCCAATATGGCTTCGGGCCATATTTGCATTAAACCCACACTTGACTTCCCCGTATTGCTGATCTCGGCACCTTGCCGGTTGCTCTGATACGGAGGGGGGAAATGAAACCATTCGTGATGTTAGGCCGCAGTGAAACACATTAGGATGATTTTGAATTTCTGAATTCACTATACAAATCCTTAAATCTAAACTTAACCTTTTTTTGTACATTAAATGGGTATTGACCCTGGTATGGCGCGTGTGCTAGGCGCCCAATATTCTCGTTCAACATGGATGAATTGGGACTTCTAGTTTTATCTAATAACCTTTTGCGGGCCACAATAAATGGTACCAGTTGGACAACCTTTGAGTAGAAGATTCGCCTGCGTCGTTTCCGTGTGGGGGTTTCTACTTTAAGGTACAGGTTTAATATCTAACGCTACTTGAGTAATTGCCTTGTTAGGTAGCCGTTGGGACTTTCGATACTTCTAGCACTGATTTCATCCACGCGAGCAACTCCACCCACTAGTGGAGAGTTTGAAACCCTGGGCAACCCCCACTATTATGTGTAACCAAACATTTATGGTGCCATTTCGTTTGCATCGGTATTTGCTGGGGTACGTTGTTATCAATTGTAAATCAGGATGGTGAAATGTTGGGCACCAGGATGCGTCGACGCTGTTTGCCAGGAAATGCAAAATTTTCTTCAGGTTCCCATCCGATTTGCAAAGGGGAGTAAAAAATTCGGAGTTATGTGAATGAGTTGTTTGCAGTTGAATCGAAAATATATTACTGCCTGTTGCATTTGATTTGTTTTATGAATTCATAAAAATAATTTGCATTCGTCAGCCAATGACGGGCCCATTAAAAAAACATTATTAGTTTATTTTATTATTATCATTATTATTATTATTATTATTATTTATTATTATATTTATGTTGTTTTAGTTTTTTCCCATTCATTTCCACCTAGAATGGTTGCATTCCTGTATCACTCCGTACGTTTCATACAACTTAAGAACTTTTTAATTGTCTATGTTTATTAATGTGCAATAGTGTAACATTTGTGTAAAACATAATGAATGAGAAATTCGGGTGTGTGTGTTGTTTCTGCACTCAATTTTTGCCAAATAGTTGTGTTCTATTACAGATTCTGTGGCCTGAGGATAGAATTCGGTGATCTGGAAATAGTCAAGAAAAGAAGGGACCACTTTTGCATGAAAATAATCCTCGAGTAAGTTCAGTTTTTGAGGAAATACGGATGACTTTATAAATGATAGGTCCAAATAATGGTGGATAATAAGCTCAATAATAGTGGTTTTCGTTTATTACGAAAGTTTTCACTAACTGCCCTAACACCATACCAAAATGTGTGACCCTTTGTAATCTCATCTTGGATCAATTTTTTTTTTCTTTTTGACAATCTATCAAATTGATCAAATCAAATTGATCAAATTTGTCACTAAAGACAAACTACATTGTTGCAATTTAAAATCATTTCATTATGTTGATATAAAACATTTTATGCCTACTGTTCCACATATAAAATGATTTTATATTTTGTGTTATAACTTGTAAAGGTATGTAGAGATTCAATTATAATAGAAAATAAAAATATATAGAATTAGTATGCCAAGAGATATTAAAGAGTAACTGTATGTTCTAAAATTCCAGATTATTCTTCTGAACCTGTATTGTATAGCCTCTATGATATGTAAAATTGTTTTCAGAATATTTTGTATGAATACTACACAGGAAAAAATGTTTTTATATATCCAAATGTATTCTTCCCTGTCAAATTATATTATTTTGTAATATAGGCGCACAAAGAGCGGAGTATTGTTATTTATGGAGTTATTATCTACTTGGCTGTCAAGAAATGAAGATTGAGATCGGTGCATCTGAGCCAGCGCTTCAACGTCCATGAGTATCCATTCTCGCCACAGAGGTGCAGTGCTGTCGCATGTTCCTTATTGTAGATTGTGCCACACGAGTTTCTATCTATTTTGGTATACGCCCATGGTAGGGGTGTTGATTGCATTGCCATTACAACCGTCACATGATATCTCTTTGAAAGCCAAGCTGTGTTGTTACGTTGATTACTTAGCGAAATACAGATACAAGGGAAGATCTTGACTTCCTCTCCTCACACAGCAGAACCTGAATGTACGGTGTTCAGTCCCGAGGCCGCCATGCGAGAGTCTTGTAAGGAAAACAAACAAAAGCCGCGCATGATAGCCAGAGACTCTTTAAAGTAGTATTAATTCGAATCTTCTTTAATATAATTAGCCACTTTTCTTTCCCGTATACTTACCTATAACGATTATATACGTAGTGTAAGGAAAGTTATGTATGCTGCGGGAAAATCGGTTTCGACATTTCAACGGAAATACACGTTTTGGCGCCCCTGTACCGACAAAGTGTTTGTTTTTTTCAAAACGTCCCGCCGTCTGTCAGTGTGAAAACCCAGTAGCGTCTAAACCTTAAGTATGATTTTCCCCAAACAGTCCCCGGACATGGCTTAAAGAAGAATTATTAAAGATCTAATACCCACAATATTGTAAGATGCTGTTCCGAATGGCAGACATCGCTAAGGCAGCACTGCCGTAGTGTCTCGGGACCAATGGATCGAGTCCGCCTCGGGATGTTAGTGTTGTGTTCGTCCTTCCCCCCCCCCCCTATCATCATCATATCGTGCAGTCCTCACAGCATACCGTTACGCGCAATAGTGGTCGCTAATGACCTAGAAGTTAATGCGACATTTGATAACAAACAAACAAAAAATTGATGAAGGTGAACATTCAGCCGGAAATCAATGCAATTGTCTACAAAAAGTTTTGCAGAAAATAAACGCAACATTAAAGTTACGATTAACGTTTATTTTTAATTTATCCGTACCATTCATAAAATTTGACTCCAACGTAAACTTCTGATTCCACGATGATCTTATGGTGGCACTTTTGCTGTCTATAAAATCGGTTATTAAGAACTAGTAATAAGAAATCTAGGCCACACTACAATTCATTTAATTCCCGAAATTTGTATATTAGGGGATAGAAAAGCAAAATCGGTGTCCCTCCGGGACACGCAAATCTATTTTTAAGGTTCTAAAACGCATCGTATTCAAGTTATGCATGTCAGGAGCGTGCTACAGTGTTTCGTGTTCCAACGCGAAATATTTTATTTAATTTAATATATTTGTAACACACAAATTTTTGCTTTCTACTCTCCTCCATATAAACTTTAATTATGCCAAATCTAACACTTCCGTTCGCGCAATATGATTAAAAAGGGGTAGAACGTTTTCTCTTCACGTATTAATGTATATCTTTATATTTCAGCTACAAAAGAAGAAATATATTTTAGTCGTTTTATTCCTATCTTAGCTTTTGAGAGAAAGATACTATACTCGGTACTTTCCAAGTTATCTGGCGCCGGCCTCGCCTCGCCTTGCCGTCCGCATTGGCTCCATCCGTCGGATGGCCCTCGACCTCCCGGCCTTTCGCAGCGCGCCATGGGATGTCGGCCGGCGGGGCGCAAAGAGCAAATCGGCGAGACCTTTCGCTCCATTTCCTTCTCCAACTGGCAGACAGCGCCCCGCCCCGCCTCGCCGCGGATGTCGCAAACCGCGCCTGATGTATGAGGCGGTCAGCGCGAGAAGGCGGGCGAGAGAAGTGGCGGGTTGGGGGTGGGGAGGGCAGCGGTGAATTTGGAGGTTTGGTTGGTTGATTGAGGATTCCGGGTGCGTCATCTGCTAAGGTGTTCAATCCCGTAAGCGTAGTTCGTGTTTCATCGCGGGAGGTGGAATGTACTTCCTCATCAGGATGGCGAGATCCGGTGCCGATCTACCCATCGGCTTGAGAGATTTTTCCCCAACCAGTTATCTCCCACCAGTGTGACTCAAGCTCTAAGCTCCCAACTAATCTTCTGACACATGTGGTAGTGCAGTGAATGTATGTGTGTGTGTGTGTGCAAGAAAGGGGTAAATATAGGAAAAGAAAGATCGCGCGCAGTCCGTGGCCCGTTTCTTAGGGTACCGGACGCGAGAATTCTCCTTTCGACAGCGGCTGAATTCAACCTATCTAGTATGTACAGTAGCTAGTGTCAACATCCTACCACAGTGTACCCTAATAAACGAGCCACGGACCGCACGCGATGTTTCCTACCTCTTCCTTGTCCTATCCTCATCTCCCACACAAATATATTTACACACTAACATGCACTACACTACTACACATGCCGAGAGAGCGGCAGGGAGCTTAGACCTCGTCCCGGCTGGAGCGGTGGCTCACTGCTGGGAGATACCTGGTTGGGGAAACACCCTCTAGTCGACGGTAAGTCATACATCGATTCCACCATACAGCGGGAAAAGACCACCGCCACAGCCCGAGAAAACATGCACTACACTTACGGGAATAATGGTCTCTGCAGTTAATGCGATCGCAATCTCTAGCATTTAATTAATTCTGCCACCGTCGGTAGTTGCACGCTGGGATCTCGTCAGCAGCACTGAAATGGCATCAATTGATGCCCTGAGCCACTAAAGGCGGTTCTTGGCGGGCGGGCGTTCGAGCGAAGCGGCGGGGGGGGATGCGGGTGAAGGGGAAGGTAGGCGGGAAGAGGGAGGGTGGAAGGCCGGCAGAGTAGCTTGCGAAGTGGGCGACTGGCGGCCGGATGAAGTGCGGAGTGGACAACTGTGCGACGTGGAGAGCTGCCTATTTTTCCTAGGCGGAAGTCCGCCCTGGCGTCTCGGGCCGGAGGTCGTGGGTCTCCCCCTGGCCGTGGCCGGTGTTTTGCAAGCTCTCTTGGAACTGAATCGGTTCGCGCAGTTACTTCTGCGATACAAGGTAAACTTTCTCTTTCTCAGCATCTCCGTCTGTCAATCATGATTTGATTTCAGGTACGTGCTTGGCTGTGTTCAAATAGCAACGTTTGTTGGGCACGTGCCGACAGAGTCCTTGGTTCAAAACCTACGTAAAAATATTTGCCGCTTTTTGAACCATTCTTGTGTCATGTGTTACGACATTCCAAGTTACGTATTTGGTCTGAGTGAAGTCGTGAAATGGTTAACGCATTACTCTTAAAATGTCTGTGTTTGGGTGGGGGAGATGCCGGTAGATGTTCCAGCATATATTCTGTTATGAAGGCGTCAGAGTTGTCATGAAAAGATTGGATTGGATAGATTATATAATTTTTCCGTAAATTGTATGTATTGTAATCACGCCCAATAAATTAAAAAAATATTATCAGAATGAAAATTAAACATACGTAATAATTCAAAGATGATTCTTTTCTCTATTTCGTTCGGAACAGAATAATTCGAGATGTTTTAATTTATTCGTTACTTAATTGCTGGCATAATTTATTCTTAGGAACTGAGGGTAGTTTGTTTTGAAAGGTAAAATATCCATCTTGTCATCAATAAAATGAATGATGAAAACCTTTATACCAGTGATGGTGTCAAGTATTTGCTTTAAAATATGTCTTACTCTACGTTTTGCAATTCAAGGTAAGCACATGCTGACGTGAGATGATCTCACATTCCCCAAAAGTTAAAGAGTTAACTCGGTCACACTTATGAAAGATTTGTCGGGACCTTACAAGCTTAGTGCAGGTCTTATGCTGAAAGGCCGAATTCCATTTCTGCATTTGAGATCAAATAAATCGGTATCGTCTCTCAGTGAAATGAAAATGAACCTTCCTGGAAACATTTGTGACTTGCGTCCCAAACCGCAAGCTCCTTTCCCCGCCTGGGAAGGCCGGCGACCCAGCGAGGACAGGCGACTTCCCCGGACTCCGCTCTAATTTCCCCTCCAAATCCAGAAAGGGAGCTACACGCGCAAGCTTAAACGGGCACGAGGCGGGGAATATTGGTTTTGTACGAAAATATGTTCGCCAGGTTTATTCCATCAACAACCAATATTTGTGTTATGTTTATATTATTTACTACTTATTATTTCATGTTTATTCCCTTTTAAAATGCTTCCTTGTATAGTATTTACATTTCCAAGAATATTGAATGGTGAGTTCTCTTTTCGTTTTGTGTTATATTTTATTAAATCATTAATTTTTTTATGTATGGAAGAATAATGTGAAGAACATGAACAATTCTCGGTTATGAGCGGATTCTTTTAAAATACAAGAATAATTGTATGCTGAATTTTCTAACCTAAATGTGGGAATTTAATACATTTATTACATTCTTTAGTAAATGCTATTTTGAAATTCGGATCCTTTAGGTTCAAAATGTTTAATTCGACTTTCTATTGACAGTTTGAAATCTGACCAAAGTATCATTTCATTTTCATGGATCATTTCTTAGCATTAGTAGTGTAAATGGGAGTTGATGTAAATTTGGAGCAATAACTGTCAACTGACTGCTCATAAAATCTATCATGGGCGAGATATCCCGTGACCTACTAATACTCTGGAGGAATTTATACAACCCTTACGTTTAATTCTCGCGTCGGTTTCTCTGGACATAGTGCCCGCGAACTCTAGAAAGCCTTACCTTGCCCGCGGCCTTATCAAGCATGTAGTGCAATGCTAACAGTGTCGTGGTGATCATGGGCAGGCAAGTGAATGTTGAAGTGGCAGACTTGTCTGTCAACATCAATTATAGGTCGTATGCAATACGGAAGCGATGCTGAATCAGGACCGGCGGTTTTACAATCAGCTTTGACAACCATTAGCTCGATATGCCAAAACCATTAAAAATAACTTCCAATACAGTGTTTCGCATAGTCGCTGGAGCTTGCCCTCAGATATCATCTTCACGTCGTGTATGTACAAGAAAAATGGCACAGCGAACAAATATCATTTCGCAGAAGAATGGCTTGAGATATTAGACTTATTCTACAATTGAGCAGATGTTGCCTGGTAACAGAATGCAGAAACATGAAAGCACAATTACAATTAAGAAACAATATATAAAAAATCAATATAAAGAACAAACTATCTTTGTCATTCTCTAGCGCATGAAGATGGGATTTTTACACTAAAACTGAAAATACATATATACTAACATTTTGATAAATAAACTTACATATTATAAAAGTATATATTCATAAAAATATAAACTCATACATACAGTAGTGTGCAAATTAATGTGTACACGCCTTGATTTCAACTTATTTTAATAATCCATACAGTATTTATAGAATATTATACAACTAGTACGAAATACGTCCACCCCCGGCTTCATTAACTAGTTTAACTTGTTTTGGCATAAAATGAACCAATTTTTGACACATCATTTTCACTTCATTGTCTTTGAACCATGCACTGATTAACGAGGAAATCATGGTTTCTTTGTTTGTGGAGTTCATTTTGCGCATTATTCCTTTAAGGATAGCCCATAAATTCTCTATGGGATTGAGGTCTGGTGAATTTCCTGGCCAGTCTAAAAGCTTAACATAATGTTCTTGGAAAAATTCAGTGACTTTTCGCGACCTATGACGGGAAGCATGATGTTGAAAAATGTCATTTACCCCGGCCTCTCGTCATTGAGAGTTCCAATCACTCGTCTTCTAACAATCTCAATGTACTCATCGGAATTCATCATTCCATGAACTGGAACAAGTGGCCCTGGCTCATGAATAGAAAACAACCCCAAAACATTTTCCTAATGGGGTATATCACACTTTGGTCAATGTGATTATAAGAAAGTTTCTGATTTCCTCACGTAGCGAGATCGTTGACCCTGTACAATAAAGTGCGTTTCATCTGAGAATAAGACATTCTCCCAATCTTCTTCATTCCATTTCTCACAATTTTTGGCCCAAGATAATATTTTCTTCATTATTGGGATGGTCAAAAGCTGTTTCTTTTGAGATCGAACGGTTCTTCGCCTAACTTCCAAAAGCCTGCGTCGAACAGTAGTCATGAGTATGAACACCCGATAGTTCTAAGTATGTTTGTAGATCAAAACTTGTCAACCTTGGATCTTTCTTTGATTTTCTGAGCAAAAGTCGAGTCATTCCTGTGAGTTGTTTTCGGTTTTCCTCCACACTTTCCTCTTCGCTGAGGTGAAACACTACCAGTTTCTTTAAATTGTTTAGTAAATTTGTTGACACCTTCTAAACTCATATCACATTCTTTAACAATGTCTCTTTGTTTCGTACTAGTATGTACATATAATGTGGCTATTTTACTTCTTTTCTTTGGAGTGAGATCCATAGCTTGCGTTTGCCCAATATAATGATGTCTCTCTCTTCACAAGATTAAAACTTCACAGAAACGAACAGTAACACATTGGTAAACACAAACAACAATGTAACAGTGATAAATACACAGTTGAGATATGCTTTCAAACAATAATTGACATTAAATCAGGATTGCCAAGCTCTTAAATTCAAATTATTTGAAACGTATATCTTGTTCACACTGTCTACTGTCTATACACAGACTTAGGAACCCTACATGCAAGCCTGCACCTATTCAGATACAATCATTTTCAGACAAATATGGATAAAATGTTTTATCTAACTTCACATTATAATAATATACAATACTTATAATAATTATTACATTTCTAACACGCAAACACTCGTTACCATAAATCAATAAATACCAATGTATGTCAGATTAGCCTAAACAAATACGTTTTAGATTAGCGAAACAAACAGAAAGAAATGAAATCCCTGCAATGTATATCACTTTACTGCTTAAGAACTGCTCAATAATTTTTAACTGTAGACTACCCATAATCGCAACTTTTACTCCACTTCACTTTCACTACTCTTTTTCACTTTGTTAAATAATTTCCTATATTTTTTACGAAAACCTCGCGTTGAGCAAGGAAAGGGCAGAAAAACTGCCGCAGGCAAATCGTTCCATTTGCTATTGTTCTGTTTACAAAGGAGAATTTGTCTACGTCCGTTCATTGTATTCTTATTCTAATTTTATATTTGTGATCAAATCTATTTAAATAATGTGGTTTATCTAGCCTTCCCCGAATTGCCTGCCATGCAGAGCAACCAATGTAAAAGTTACACAGTGCGCAAGTCGTGCTCTTTTCCTTCGGTGTTCCAACGATGCCCAATGCGCAGATATGTTCCTCCGAAAAGTGTACTTTGCCGCTCTAATGCGTATCCTATCTAAGCTCTTTTTAATTCTATTCTGTACGGATCCCAACAACTAGCTCTGTATTCCAATACCGGTCAAACAGGAGAGAGGTATACGTGATTTTTTTTTTTACTTTCCTATTGCATATTCGAAGATTTCTCATGACGAAATGCAAAAACTTCTAAGCTTTACTAACTACGTACTTCGTACTACGTACTTCGAGGATGCCAAGGTATTTACAGTTCGAGACTCGCGGAACTACGTAATTGCCTAGCTGATAAGGTATTGTATGAAAAGCTCTGGTCCTACGAAGTGTGATCCCTTTAATTTTCTTTCCATTTACAGTCATTTTATTATTTATTGCCCAAACATATATTTTATTTAAATCGCTCTGTGGTTGAATAATATCGTGCTATTATGTAATTTCTCTACATAATATACAGTCGTCGGCGAAGAGTCGAATTTTTACGTTATATTTCGCGATAAATCATTTACAAAGATAAGAAACAGCAATAGGTACATGACACTGCCCTGAGGGGCCGTGGAAATAAGGTTACCCTTTTTCAATAAATGCTAAGCTGCTTAATTTAGCCAGAAACGGTTACCTAACGCAAACAGCGATTTACAATTTCCTTTGCTTGTTCACGGACGTGAAATGAAGGTTTTTCATTATTCCAATAAAAGTTGCTTGCTAGCTGGAGCAAATTTATTCGAAAACAGTGATATCGAATACAAGTCTTGGTTTTATAATGTCTATTGATTAAAACTTACGTTGTATTTC